CAGGTGTCTCCCCTGCATAGTCCTTTTACTCCCTTTCCATACTGTCCTCTTTGCCAGGAAGACAAAATGTACCACCCGCACTAAGGAGTGGGGAGTCATGCCATACCTCCGAGATCAGAGTATCTACCTAAATTATTTTCTCCTGCATAAGGTTCTTTCCATTATCCTCCATCTGTTTATTTATTCAATCATTTATTTATATTACTATGGACCCATGGACATTTACTTTATACTTGGGGCTATAATCCAATATCACATTATTTAATTCCTTGGTCGAACAGTTACAGCAGTGGCCTTTGGGAGCTCTTTTGGTTGGCTCCTGTGAACTACTTTTTTTTTTAAGCATTTTTTCCTTTTCATTTTCAATATTGTCCATGACTACTTTGAGAACCACTTCAAGCAATGCTATAATTTTTGCTTTCAAATATCAATTTTTAAAACCCAAGTGGAGAAGAAGAATCTATCATATTCACCAAATATTAACCCATTCTACTCTTCTTTTTCACTCCCAACATTCCCTGCTTTCTTCTGTTATCATTTCCCTTCTGTCTCAAGGACTTCCTTTAGCAATTCCTCTAGGTGAGGTCTGCTAACCACAAAAATCTCTTTTCCTTCCTTTGAGAACATCTTCATTTCCCTTTCATTTCTGAATGATTTTCTCACTGGATATGTAATTCACCTGAAAAACATGGTGCCACTTCTCTGGCCTCCATGGCTTCTGGTGAGAAATCACAGCCACTGGGGACATTGTACTCTGAGTGGGCAATGTATCGTCTCTCTATGGATGCTTTCAAGTGTTCTTTTTCCTTTAGTGTCCAGAAATTTGATTATGATGCTTCTGGGCATGGATCTTTTTGAGTTTATTCTGTTTGGGGTTCACTCAGCTTCTAAAATCTGTACATTATCTTTCCCCCCAAATTTGTGAAGCTTTCTGTCATTATTTATTCTAATGTTTTTTCAGCCCTGTGCTCTTTCTCCTCTCCTAAATGTTAGAAGCACTATTATTGTCCTACAGGTCCCTCATACTCAATTCATTTCTTTTTTTTTTTTTAAGATTTTATTTATTTGAGAGAGAAAGAGAGCATGAGAGAGAGAGCATGAGTGGGGAGGCAGAGGGAGAGACAGGAGCGGACTCCCCACTGAGCAGGGAGCCCAATGTGGGGCTCGATCCCAGGACCCTGGGACCATGACCTGAGCCGAAGGTAGATGTGTAACCGACTGAGCCACACAAGCGCCCCGCTCCATTCATTTCTTTTTAGATTTTTAATTTAAAAAATTTCATTGTGGAGAAAAAACAAATATACAATTTGCCATCTGAATAATTTATTTTGTTTTTTGAACCATTTTTAATTGTAAAGTTCAGTAGTATTAAGTATATTTATATTGCTGGGCAACCAACAATATCCAGAACTTTTCATTTGGCAAAACTGAAATGCTATACCCGTTAAACAATAACTCCTTATTTCCCTCACCCACTCCCTTCCTGCCCCTAGCACTGACCAGTCTACTTTCTATTTCTATGAATTCCACTATGAATATAAGTGGAATCCTACAGTATTTGTCTTTTTGTGACTGGCTTATTTCACTTAGCATAATGTCCTCAAGGTCCATCCATGCTGTAACATGTTTCAGAATTTCCTTCCTTTTTAAGGATAAATAATATTCTGTTGTACATATATACCACATTTTAAAATCTATTCATCTGTTGATGGACACCTGGGTTGCTTCGTCCTCTTGGCTGTTGTAAATAATGCTGATATAAAAATAGGTGTACAAATATCTCTTTAAGATCCCACTTTCAATTCTTTTGGATATATACCCAACAGTAGATTTGCTAGATCATATGGAAATTCTATTTTTAATTTTTTTTTTAAAGATTTTATTTATTTATTTGACAGAGAGAGAGGCAGCGAGCAAGGAACACAAGCAAGGGGAGTGTGAGAGGGAGAAGCAGGCTTCCCGCTGAGCAGGGAGCCCGATGCGGGGCTCGATCCCAGGACCCTGGGATCATGACCTGAGCCGAAGGCAGACGCTTAACGACTGAGCCACCCAGGTGCCCCTCTATTTTTAATTTTTGAGGAACCACCATGCTGCTTTCCACAGTGGCTACACCATTTTACATTCTTTTGTGTCTAGCTTCTTCCCTCAACATTGTGTTTATGATTCATCCATGTTGTTGCCAGTGGTGATGCTTTCTTCATTCTCATTACTGTGTAGTACTCCATTGGGGAAATATTTCACAGTTTATTTATCCATTCTACTGTAGACATTTGGGTTGTTTCAGGTTAGGCTATTAACGAGTGCTGCTATGAACCTGTATGTCCTTTGGGAATATACATATATGCACTTCTGCCAGGTTAAATTCCTAGGGATGGACTTACTAGATTATATATATGTGTGTGTGTGTGTATCTATCTATCATCTATCTATAAATATGTAAAATCTCCACATGAGTTTGAAAAGATAGTATCAAATAGTGTTCAAAGTGGTTGTCTGAACTTGCTGTCACATCAGCAGTGTATGAGAATTCTGGCTGCTCTACATCTTTGCCAGCATTTGGCATTGTCTGTCTTTTTCATTTAAATGATTCTGGGTGGTTACAGTAAAATTGAGTTTTTTAAATATTTTATTTATTTATTTTTGAGAGAGAGCATGAGTGGAGGGAAGGAGAGGGACAAGCAGACTCCTTGTTGAGCATGGAGTCTGATGCTGGGCTCAATCCCACGGCCTTGAGATCATGACCTGAGCTGAAACTAAGAGTTGGATGTTCAACCGACTGAGCCACCCAGGCACCCCAGTAAAAGTATGGTTTTAATTTGAAATTTCCTGATGACCAGTGAAGTTAGCACAGACCTTGTCAAACATTTATTGGTTATTTGGGTATTGCCTTTTGTGAAGTGCCTACTCCAGGTTTTGCCCATTTTTCTGGTAAGGTTGTCTGCTTCTTAATTATTTTATAAGAGTTCTTTATAAGTTCTAGATAGGAGCCTTAGTCATATATATGTATTTTGGTATCTTCTCCCTTTCTGTGGCTTTCCTTTTCACTCTCTAGTGGTGTCTTTTGAAGGACAGATGTTCTTACTATATTGATAAAGTCCAATTTCTCATTTTAGTGCTTTCAGTTTCCCTTCAGTGCTTTCCATAATCTCTTTAAGAAAAATCTTACCTAACCCAAAGTCATTAAGATTCTCTGTTTTCTTCTAAAACTTCATTGTTTACCTTCCATATTTAGTTTTGCACTCCATCTGGAATCAGTTTTTGTGTATGGTGTGAGGTTTGGGTCAATACACATTTTTTTCTTCATATGACCTTTCAAATGACCCAGTACTATTTTTTGAAGACCATCCTTTTCCCATGCCACATCCTTTTCCTCACCATTTGTAATAGCTATAAAATATTCCATTCTAAGGCGCTCCCATAACTTGTCTACCCATTCTTCCATGGGATATTTGGGTTATTTTCTGGCCTCTGCTATCATCAAACAGGGTGAACATCTTTGTATGGACATCAAGGCATTCTTCTGCAATTTTTTAAAGGTGGAACTTCTGAGCTAGAAAATATTTACCTTTTTGAAAAATTAATAAATGATATGGTTCAAAGCTCAAAGAATACAAAGGCCTGGTGAAGAGTTTACTTCCTACCCTGTCCCCAGTCCTTCCAGTCCCTCACCAGGTAACTGCAATTATGAAATCTTGAGTATCTTTGCAGATATATTGTAATGGATGAACAGACATTAGATTTTTTTCTTTTCTTTACACAGCTGGGGGCACACTGTATGCTCTGTTCTGCATCTTGCCTTTTTAACTAAACAATGTATCTTAGAAGTCTTCTTATTACTGCACATAAAAAAGCATCAGGCCACATATTCCACTGGATGGGTGTACCACCATTTAGGCAGTCTTCTACTGATGGACATCTGTGGTGTTTTCGATTTTTTGCTGTTCACACAATGCTGCAATGAGTAACTTTGCACAGGTCATCTCACATGTGTGCAGTGTATCTGTTGGGGTATTTCTAGAAGTGGACTTGCTGAGTCCAGGGATATGCATCTGTAACTTGTCAGCATGACAAGTTACACTCCCACCAGCAATGTATACAAGCTCCTGTTTTCCCAGAGCCTGGCTAATGGACTTAGATGTGGGATCGTTAGTCATTTCATAGGCGGAAAACTGTAGATTATTTTGCATTTATCTTGTGTGTAAGATTGAGCATCTTTCCAGGGGTTTAAGAGCAACTTGTGTTTTTTGTCAACATCCTTTGATGGTATGCAGTTCTTCAGAATCACTCATGCAAATTCCTCCAAATGTTACCTCAAGAGAAGCCTTAGACATGCACTTCTGGTCAGAGTTTGAACTTTTTTTTTTTTTAAAGATTTTATTTATTTATTTGAGAGAGAGAGAATGAGATAGAGAGCATGAGAGGGGGGAGGGTCAGAGGGAGAAGCAGACTCCCCGCCGAGCGGGGAGCCCGATGCGGGACTCGATCCCGGGACTCCAGGATCATGACCTGAGCCGAAGGCAGTCGCTTAACCAACTGAGCCCCCCAGGCGCCCCGAGAGTTTGAACTTTTTAAAAGATGTCTCTGTGTTGCCAACCGACCTTCCAGAAGGGAGGCCCCACTGACGCTGCCTCCACAACCTGGCCCTGGACCCAGAGTGTCCTTGAAGCTGGCACGACCAGATACAGGTGGGGAGCGGGGCCTGCTGGGACCGAGCTGCGCTCGCCTCTCCAAGGAGGCCCCGCCCAGACGCGCAGCCCCGCCCCCCGCCTGCGAGGCCCGCCTATCGCGGCCCCGCCCCTCCCCGCCCCTCCCCGCCCGCCTGGCCGCGAAGCTCTACCCCAGGGAGCGCGGCCACGCCCCCCGCTGCGTGCCCCGGCGGCGCCGGTCACGTGACGTCTGGGGCGCGGGGAGGGGGCACCGGGCGCCATTGCTCCGCCGCCCCGGCGCTGGCGCCCTCCGCGCACGATGGCTTCCCCCGGATGGCCTGCGCTGCGGCCTGGCCGCGGGGAACCGGCGAAGGCGTAGACGAGGCCCGGAGGCGTCCGCAGCTGCTGCCGGCCTCGGCCGGGCGCGGAGAGGCAGCGCGTTGCTAGGCAGCCGCGTCGGGCCAGCGGGGCGGGGCGGGCCTGCGGCGGCGCGGGCATGGACCAGTACTGCATCCTGGGCCGCATCGGGGAGGGCGCGCACGGTGTCGTCTTTAAGGCCAAGCACGTGGAGGTGAGCCGGCACGCGGGGCGCCAGGCCTGCCTTCGCTTCCAGCCGTTGGGGTCGAGAGAAAGACCCCCTGACCCCCGTTTTCCGTGCCCACGTCTGCACCGCCGCGCCCGCCTCCCGGCCCCGCCTCGTGGTGTGCGCCCACCACTTTGGCGCCCTTCCGTGCGGGTCGTCCAGGTTGCGGTCAGATGCCCACCCGCCCGCGATGCCACCGCGGTCGTCCCGCGAGCGCCCCAGGGAGCGTGGCGTTAGAGTCTGGAGCTGTTCGCGCCCCTCTGCAACAGTGGGTCCCAGGCTGGACCTGATTTCCCTCCAGATCGGGGTGGGGGCGCTTCCCACCCCCAAGAGGACCTCGGGCCTCTGCGTCCCCCCCATGGCGCCTGTCCCGTCGGCGCACCCCGTTCCCCAGCCCTGGACGGGTGGCAGTGTCTTAGTTCTGTCCCGCAGACTGGAGAGATCGTGGCGCTCAAGAAGGTGGCTCTGCGGCGGCTGGAGGATGGCATCCCCAACCAGGCCCTGCGGGAGATCAAGGCCCTGCAGGAGATCGAGGACAATCAGCACGTGAGCGGGGGTGGGCTCGGAGGGCCCCTTTCCGCAGCCTCCCTGTGCTCCTCGGCACCCCTCCCTTGCTCCCTGTCTTGTCCACCTCGTCCCCCACTTACGTCATTATGCACTCACTCCCTCTTATTCACCCGCTCGTTTCTTCCTGTTCTCATAATTCATTCATTTATTCACTGACTTCATAAAACATTTGGTGATTTGTAATGATAATGATAACTGCCTCCATTGAGCTTCTGTTCTGTTCCCCAGGCTAGGTTAACTGTTGGGTTCGTTTTCATTCTGAGTTCTCCATTGCTCTGCAAGGGCGATTTCAGGATCGCCCCTTCTCAGGCCAGGCGGGGAGGCTCATCCACCAGCTGTGGGCACACAGCTGGTCCGTGGATGCTTTGGCTGGGGTCTGATTGAGGAGTCCAGATGTTCTAACCTGGGGTCCACCCGTAGGTCCTACCTTGGGCTGGGCATGGGCCCCGATTGGGCTTCTGATAACTTAAGTGCAGTAGGGGAGATGCACAGAGACAGCAGGGCCCACGTGGCCCTGTTCTGCTGTGATGGGGCTGGAGGCGCTGTGGGGACACGGGGAGGGACACATTCACCCTCAGCCTCAGAGCTCTTCGCTGTGCTTTCTCTCATCCCTGGGGAGTGACAGTCCTGTCGTGTCCTGCTTGTTTGTTATCCTCTGGAGATGTCCATGATGTATTGGATATATGACAAAAAAGCATGTTGTAAAATTGCTTATAAAACACATCTAAAAATATGTCATCCTAGTTTTGTATGCAAATGCGTGTGTATATATATATAATATGTGTTAGTACATGCCATATTTGTTGTAGTCTGATAGAATGTGCTCTAAGGTTGATTGTATTTGATAGGATTTTTCTTTTGATTTTTTTCTTTATAATTCTGTGCTTTATCTGAATGTATGTGTGTGATCTGTGAAATGATTTTGTGTTGCCTTCAAAGTCTGAAAACCAGCAGTAAGGCTATTCGAATTTTTTTGAGGACAGTCCGGGGGCATGCAGACAGCCCACGTGTGGGAGAGGTGGAGGGCCTGTAAGAAGGCTGGGGACAGGGGCCTCAACCCGTCAGCAGCCCGGAAGTTTCTACCGTAAAACCCTCCAGAGTTGAGCCCCGGCCACCTTCAGCTCTGACCGGAGCCAGTGCAGCTGCTTCCTCACTGTGCTCTTCCCCCCACCGTCAGCCAGTGTAGATGGAATCCACTTCACGGTGCTCCTCCCCCCACCGTCAGCCAGTGTAGATGGAATCCACTTCACGGTGCTCCTCCCCCCACCGTCAGCCAGTGTAGATGGAATCCACTTCACGGTGCTCCTCGCCCCACCGTCAGCCAGTGTAGATGGAATCCACTTCACGGTGCTCCTCGCCCCACCGTCAGCCAGTGTAGATGGAATCCACTTCACGGTGCCCCTGCCCCGCACCGTCAGCCAGTGTAGATGGAATCCACTTCACGGTGCTCCTCCCCCCACCGTCAGCCAGTGTAGATGGAATCCACTTCACGGTGCCCCTGCCCCGCACCGTCAGCCAGTGTAGATGGAATCCACTTCACGGTGCTCCTCGCCCCACCGTCAGCCAGTGTAGATGGAATCCACTTCACGGTGCTCCTCCCCCCACCGTCAGCCAGTGTAGATGGAATCCACTTCACGGTGCTCCTCCCCCCACCGTCAGCCAGTGTAGATGGAATCCACTTCACGGTGCCCCTGCCCCGCACCGTCAGCCAGTGTAGATGGAATCCACTTCACGGTGCTCCTCCCCCCACCGTCAGCCAGTGTAGATGGAATCCACTTCACGGTGCTCCTCCCCCCACCGTCAGCCAGTGTAGATGGAATCCACTTCCCTGCTTGAAAAGCCCACTGGTTTTTCTTCATGCAGAGAACTCCAGCTCCTCTCTTCATTCATTTCACACACCTTCTGAAGTGTCTCCTGTGACACCGTCCAGGTCACAGCACAGAACCGAGCAAAGGTCCCTTCCCTAGAGGATCCTACATGCCGGTGGCCAGCCTTCTTCCTGTTCCCACCGCAGGCCTTTGTGCTTGTTGTTCCTCTGCCCTCTGCCCTCAGCTCCTTCCCACATCCCTGCGTTACTGACCCCACCTGTTTTATTCTCTCCGTCCTCCTCAGAACCTGGACACAGCCGGGGGGCTTGCTTGCTCATGTGTCAGGTGTGTGTGTTCCTGTCCTGTGAGCTCCTTAAGGTCGTCAGGACCTGCCAGGCCTTGCTCCTGCTCACTGCTGTGCCGCCCAGTCTCTGTGACCTGTGGGCCCTCAGGAAGCATATGTGACGTGTCTCCTGATACTGGGATTTCATGGCCCCAGAGGAGACCTGTGCCCTGTGTGTGTATGAGAGTGAGAGAGAGACCCCTCCCAGGTGATTTTCCAGTTCCTGGGCTGGGTGGATGGCCAGACACTGCCCTAGGTGACCTTCCTTAGACCTCCTTTTCCCTGAGTGTGAAGGCAGTGTTAGATGGGGACCTGCACGTAGGGAACTCAACTCCCTTCCTGCCTCGTCCTCTGTCAGGGCAAGGGTTGGGGGTCCCAGAGAGGCTCTGAGCACTGTGGGTCCAGGGCTGACAGGAGGCCTGCCCTGCAGGTGGTGCAGCTGAAGGCTGTGTTCCCGCACGGTGCAGGCTTTGTGCTGGCCTTCGAGTTCATGCTGTCAGATCTGGCCGAGGTGGTGCGCCACGCCCAGAGGCCGCTGGTCCAGGCACAGGTCAAGAGCTACCTGCAGATGCTGCTCAAGGGTGTCGCATTCTGCCACGCCAACAACATCGTGCATCGGGTCAGTCTCGGCATGGGCTGCGGCGGGACCTGTGGGGCTAGCCCTTGAAGAAGGTGTGGTCAGAGGGGGTCAGAGGGGACAGGACCTACGGTGTGGCCACACCACAGAGTAAGTGGCCCAGAGAGCGTGGGGGCCTGGGCTGACCCATGTACTTAGCCTGCCAAGCTCTCCTGTCCCAAGGTCCTCTGGGGGATCTGGAGGAACTGATGCTTCCTTTGGTGTGCTCAGGACCTGAAACCGGCCAACCTGCTCATCAGTGCCTCAGGCCAGCTCAAGATAGCGGACTTTGGCCTGGCCCGGGTCTTTTCCCCAGATGGCAGCCGCCTTTACACTCACCAGGTGGCCACCAGGTAGGGAAGGCCAGTTCCCAGGCAGGGCTTGGCAATGGACAGGCCCCAACCTTCTCACTGGGGATGAGATGCTTCTGGACCTTCAGTTCAGACATAGCTTGTGGGGCTGGGGTGACCTATCCGGGCAGCCTTCTGGCAGACCAGCGGCCTGGTTGTGACTGCCCGCCCTCCTCCTCACAGGTGGTACCGAGCCCCTGAGCTCCTGTATGGTGCCCGCCAATATGACCAGGGCGTTGACCTGTGGTGAGGCCCCTGTGGGCTGGGCGTGGGGGAATGTGGGTTAGGGAGTCACCTTTTTCTCCTGGGCTTTGGGGTTGCTCAGCCATTTGGGGGGGTGTCTTCCTGCTGTGAACTATAGGTTGCCTTGGGGGTGTCTTCCCTGGTTGGGGTATCTCTGAGGAGTTTGGGGTCAGTTTTCCTCTCTGACATTTTTGAGCTGGGTGGGGATTAGGTAATCAGAGTGGGAAGCTTCTGGGCTGGAGTGGGGGAGGTGGTCTGAGGCTCAAGGCGTATGGGTCATCTACATTAGTGGACAGGGGGTTGCGTATATCCCAGGAGGTGGGCTATCTAGAGGCCTGGGTCCCTGAGTGTGAAGGCTCTGAGCCTTTATTTGGGGTAGGATGGTTTGTTTGTACATGCCTAAGAGCTTGAGATGTAGGGGCTGTTTTGGAAGTCTGCCCCAGAAGGTGACGAGTGTGAGGTGGTGGTTGTGTGTCCCAGAAATTGAGGCTCTGAGAAGTCTCAGAACTATTGAGGATGTTGCTTTGTTTTCTAGGGTTGAGGCCAGTGAGCTCTTTGGTAGGGGAATATGTTCTATGTTCTAGGCTTGTGGTCTTTATTTACAAATCTGTATTCCTAGATATGAAGCATCTGTGCTCTTTTGTGGTTCCTTGGCCCCAGTATGGGGTGTGGGTCTATGTGGGAAGATCTGTGTCCTTAGTGTGAGGTGATGGAGCTGGGAGTGGGCGGATCTGTGTCCTGTGTGAGGTGACGGAGCTGGCGGGCGGAGATCTGTGTCCTGGTGTGAGATCTCTGAATTCTTTGCGTCTGTATCCACAGGGCTGTGGGCTGCATCCTGGGGGAGTTGCTGAACGGATCCCCTCTCTTTCCTGGGGAGAACGATATTGAACAGCTTTGCTGTGTGCTTCGAGTCTTGGGCACCCCCAGTCCTCAAGTCTGGCCGGTGTGCAGGGCTTCCTATTGGGGGGTGGGGGCAGGTATCCTCCCTCCCCCCCCCGTAGCCAGGACCACCCTTTCCTGCACCTCTTCCCTGTGGCCCCACACCTGCTTGCCCTCCGGCCACTGTCCTGGCCTCCCTCGGGGGCTTCTCCCTTTCTACCCTGCTGGGTGCCCGAGGCCAGGTCCTGTCCCTTCCCTCCCAGCACACTTGCACTTGTCACCAAGCTGGGTGTGGCGCAGGCGCCCGAGTCGGGGAGGGGCTGTGGGATTTCAGGAGTGACGGCGGGAGCCGCGGGTGAGAGTGAGCGGGTGGGTCGTAGCGGGCAAGGACTGATGACAGTGGTTCTAGGAGGTCACGGAGCTGCCCGACTACAGCAAGATTTCCTTCACGGAGCAGGCGCCCGTGCCGCTGGTGGAGGTGCTGCCTGACGCGTCTCCTCAAGCTTTGGACCTGCTGGGGCAGTTCCTCCTCTACCCTCCACGCCAGCGCATCTCAGCCTCCCAGGTAGGTACAGCGACCCGCTTTCCCCGGCCCTCCTCGCTTGGGCCCCCCAGCCCCGAGGTTGAGGCCCCTCGGGATCTGCGGGGGGCTGGAACCAGAGCCTGGCGGGTCACGGGCAGGTCAGGCGGCCCACGGCCAGCTTGCAGAAGAGCACATCTGGGTTGTCGGTGACCAGCTCCTCCATCCCTTCAACAGATAGCGACTCTGCGTCGGCACATGCCCAGTATCACCCCGGGCCCTGGGGGTGGGGGGATTGGCACTGACTTTGGGGAAGTGCAGGTTTAAGCACAGGAGAAATGAGGAGCAGAGGGCTGGCATGGGGGACCCGGGAGGGTGGGTTGTGTGGCCGGGAAGGAGGGGGAGGACCCTGGGCTGCTGGCCAGTAGTGCCAGGGCCTCTGTCTCGGGTGTACCTGTGTCCCCAGCCTCACGGCCGCTGTCCCCTCCCCACTCTCAGCACTGGCATGCCCCCTGGGGAGTTCTCACATCATCGGCGCCTCTGAAGTGGGCTGAGGTCATCTGACTGCTTCCCGCAGTCTGAGCCCCTGCACACTACCCCCCCCCCGCCCCGCACCCTGCCACCGCCTGCTTCTGCCCATTCAGTGTGTCCTCCACCTGGCAGGCTGGCTCATACCCCCCGCAGGGCTCTCCTGTGACCCCCCCCCTCAGAGCAGAAGCCCAGGTCCTAGGGGCCCACGAGTGTCTCACAGTTGGGGCCATCATCTCTGGGGCCCTGTCAGCTCCTGCCCCTTTGCTCATTCTCCCCTGGGCTCCAGGTGCACTCTGTCCTTGGGCCTAGCCCCTGCACCTCTCAGCTCTCTGCTCGAGCACCGCTCTGCAGGCCTGCAGTCTCTCCAGCATCCCTCACCCCCTTGTTGTCTCTGCACCCTGTATCTTCTTTATCTTGGGCACCCGCACCCCTGACTCGTGGAAGACTTCATGAGGGCAGGTTCTTTGATCAGATGGTGAGCACTCAGAGGTGCTGTAGGAGTGAGCCTCAGGAGGGCAGTGTTCAGATCCCCCCTCAGAGGGAAGTGAGCTGAGGTGGGGACTGGGAGGTGACTGATTTCCTTCTGCTGTCCCTTGCCACCCCCAGGCCCTCCTGCACCAGTACTTCTTCACGGCTCCCCTGCCTGCCCACCCCTCGGAGCTGCCGATTCCCCAGCGCCCAGGGGGACCTGCCCCCAAGGCCCACCCAGGGCCCCCCCACGTCCATGACTTCCATGTGGACCGGCCTCTTGAAGAGTCGCTGTTGAACCCGGAGCTGATTCGGCCCTTCATCCCAGAGGGCTGAGACGCTGGGCTAGCCCTGCTGTCCTGCTCCCCAGAGCCCCCCAGGCTTCTTGTTCTTCTGCTTAGCCTGACTCAACCTCCCATGGCCTCTACCCAGCCATACTTGTCCCCCACTCCATGCCTGGTCCTGCTCTCAGCCAGGTGATGAGGACGTCCAGCTCCAGCAGAGGAGACCTGCAGCTTGCACTGTCGGCTTCCCATCTGTGTGTTGCTGACTTACCCATCAGAGGGAGAGAGTGGGCTCCGGGGTTGGGCCTGCCATGGTCCTGGTTCTCCAGGCCCTGCCTTCCTGGTCAGGGATGGTCCTGGTAGAGCCATCTAGGGGAGTGCAGAGTGTAAGATGTCCTCACACTGAAACACAAGTGGGAGGGCAGGTTTGTTTTGGTTTGGTTTTCAGAGGCATTAAAAGCTAGTTCAGTTTCGAGATTTCTATGAAAAGCCCGGGTAGTCCTGCCTGGTGTCTGCCCCTCTTCCATTCCTGTTGGGGGAAGTGGCATTGATTCCTGGCTTCTGCTTCTCTCTGGTCACCAGGGAAGTGGACCCAGGCATGGCTATTCTGGTCCTGGGGGCTTCAGACAGTGAGGTGGCGGAAGTCAAGCCCAGGGCTGGCTCAGGTTGGGGACCTATCAGGTTTAAGTCGGTTTACCAACATCTCTACCCTCAGGATAAGGGTGAGCCAGGACCAGATGTGTCACCTCCTTACTCAGATAAAGAGCAAGTGAGGAGACAGGCATTCCTGGAACTCATGTCTTAATTTAGTAAATCCAAATACAAGCAAAATCAGCCCTTGTTTGTTGTTTAATAAGATTTGATAAGCCGTTTCTACAGCATGTATGGAAATAAAAGGGTTAAGAGAAGGCAGCAGAAGAGAAAAAGGGAAGGACTCACTGTTAGACCTAAGACTTACTATAGGGCTCAATAATTGGGACGGTGCAGCCTTGGTTCAGGAAGAATTAAAAACAGAGCAGAGAAACTTAGCAATCTTTTGTTCTTCATGGGGATAAACTTCTGTGAGCACTGAGGACAGGTCATTGCCCTCCAAGCTCCTAGGCCCATGCAAACAAGGCAGACTCATTTGTTGCTTTCAGGGAGAGGTCTGATGCTTGAGGATGTGTGCCTGTCTCCGGCTACATCTTCTGTCAACTCTAAGCTGCAGTCTGGCTACCTTCTGGGAGCTCTGAGCTCCGAATAAATTCGAGCTGTACCCACAGTTCTACTATTGACCTTGAATGTCAAGGTCAGAGTGAGGCCGGGTGTCACGGCCAGGGTGAAGTTCACTGTGAGGGTTACGGTGCCAGGGTCCGGTGAAGGTAGGGGCTTCGGGTAGGGCAGATGGCAGACGAGAGCCGGGTTGAGGGTTAGAAGCAGGGCGAGGTTGGAGGGGAGGGGTCGGGGCAAGGTACGGGTGAGTGTCCGGACTAGGGGCGGCCCGACCCCGGCAAAGGAGAGGACCTTGTTGAGGCCAGGTTGAGAGCGGGTAAGGGGTGGGGCTGGAGTGCAAGACAGGGCACGTTTACTGGCAAGAGGGAGGGCAACGGCCAGGGCTGGGGAGGTGCCCGCCTCAAGGTCCCTGTCGTGAGGGTCAGTGCAGGGGTGAGGGTCAGGGGCAAGTGGAAGGTTGGGGAGAAGCGGGGCGGACTGGCTACTGCGTAAGGCGGAGAGGGGGCTGAACAGGATTGACTGAGAACGGCACGAGCCTTCCGGGCTGGGCGTAGTCTGCGGGGCGGAAGCGCCGTGAGATGGGCGGGGCTTGGCTGAGTGGAGCGGAAGTGCGGCGGGGCGGGCGGGGCTTGGCCTGCGGGCTGAAGAGCCTTGAGACGGGAGGGGTTCGGCCTACGGGGCGGAAGTGAGGTAGGCTGGGCAGGGTTTGGTTGAGTGGGGCGGAAGCGCGGCAGGGTGGGCGGGGCTCGGCTTGCGGGGCGGAAGCGCTGTGGGACGGGCGGGATTTGTCTTTCGGGGCGGAAGCGTGGCGGAGTGGGCGGGGTTTAGCTGAGGAACGGAAGCGCGGTGGGGTAGGCAGGGTTTGGCTTGCAGGGCGGAAGCGCGGTGGGATGGGCGGGGTTTGGCCTGCCGGGCGGAAGCGCGGTGGGATGGGCGGGGCTTGGCCTGCCGGGCGGAAGCGCGGTGGGATGGGCGGGGTTTGGCCTGCGGGGCGGAAGCGCGGTGGGATGGGCGGGGTTTGATCTGCCGGGCGGAAGCGCGGTGGGATGGGCGGGGCTTGGCCTGCCGGGCGGAAGCGCGGTGGGATGGGCGGGGCTTGGCCTGCCGGGCGGAAGCGCGGTGGGATGGGCGGGGTTTGGCCTGCCGGGCGGAAGCGCGGTGGGATGGGCGGGGCTTGGCCTGCGGGGCGGAAGCGCGGTGGGATGGGCGGGGCTTGGCCTGCCGGGCGGAAGCGCGGTGGGATGGGCGGGGCTTGGCCTGCGGGGCGGAAGCGCGGTGGGATGGGCGGGGCTTGGCCTGCGGGGCGGAAGCGCGGTGGGATGGGCGGGGCTTGGCCGAGAGGCGCGGAAGCGCGGTGGGATGGGCGGGGTTTGGCCTGCCGGGCGGAAGCGCGGTGGGATGGGCGGGGCTTGGCCTGCCGGGCGGAAGCGCGGTGGGATGGGCGGGGCTTGGCCTGCGGGGCGGAAGCGCGGTGGGATGGGCGGGGTTTGGCCGAGAGGCGCGGAAGCGCGGTGGGATGGGCGGGGTTTGGCCTGCCGGGCGGAAGCGCGGTGGGATGGGCGGGGCTTGGCCTGCCGGGCGGAAGCGCGGTGGGATGGGCGGGGCTTGGCCTGCGGGGCGGAAGCGCGGTGGGATGGGCGGGGTTTGGCCGAGAGGCGCGGAAGCGCGGTGGGATGGGCGGGGTTTGGCCTGCCGGGCGGAAGCGCGGTGGGATGGGCGGGGCTTGGCCTGCCGGGCGGAAGCGCGGTGGGATGGGCGGGGTTTGGCCTGCCGGGCGGAAGCGCGGTGGGATGGGCGGGGCTTGGCCTGCCGGGCGGAAGCGCGGTGGGATGGGCGGGGCTTGGCCTGCCGGGCGGAAGCGCGGTGGGATGGGCGGGGCTTGGCCTGCGGGGCGGAAGCGCGGTGGGATGGGCGGGGTTTGGCCGAGAGGCGCGGAAGCGTGTGGAGGGACGGGCCGGGGCGGCGGCGCGAGATGGAGCCGCAGCTTGGGCTCCACGAGTTGCTGCACGTTTTCTCCTTCCTGGAGGCCCGGGACCTGCTCTGCGCCGCCCAGGTGGACAAGGTAGCGCGCTCTGTCCGGGGCGGAGGCAGGGCTGGCTTTTGGTCCCTGAGCGTTCACAGCTAGCTCTGCTCTGGGTTTGGTTCCCATTTGGGAGGCGGCGTCAGGCGGCCCTGGTGCCGTGGCCGGCAGGGAACGCTCGCGGCCCCCGGGGTGGTGAGCTGGGCGGCTTTTGTGGGGGCAGCGCTGCAAGCCGCCGGCCCCAGGCAGCGCCCAGAACCCTGCTCGGTTCGCCTGCAGCGGCGCCCTGCCGTCGCGCTTCCGTGCTAGCAGGGGCTTGGGCACCGGTTTCCTTGCCCCTCCCGCCTCTCCTGGGATATTCTGGAACTTCCGTCCTGGGGCCTGCCTGGGAAGCCAGGATTCTCCTGTGAGCGGCACGTCCCCTGCGCTCAGGCCTCTCCACACCTGGCGCTGGGCTGTGCTTGCCCTGGGCCTGTTGAGTGCATCCGCCTGCACCTGCGCGTCCGCCCCCGCGTGCACCTGCGCGAGCTCTTCCTAGATCGGCACACAGCCTCGCTGAGTGTAGAGCGTATTTATTCAACATGTTTTTCTCATTACCGAGATTCATTACCGAGAGCAAGGATTCTGTTTTGCGTCATGTTGTCTCTAGCACCCGGTGAATTTCTTGGCACTTAGGCTATGTAAATGCTTGCCGAGTAAATGAGTTTCGTTAAGGAACCTAAAATACATTTTATTTTATAACCTTAGAAATGAAACTGCCAGTTATTTTACCAGCAGAAACGTGTTTATTTGGGAATAGCAGAGAATTGCAATTTGGGACGAGCGACTTAGAGTAAAATCATAGGCAGTCCAGGAAACAAAGGCCAGGAGGCTTTTTTATAGAGGAAGGTGGGGGGGGGGGAGGCCGTTGTAAACTAAACGTCCATTGGACTAAGCTGCGAGCTGGAAGTGTAGCGGCCTCTCGTTCGCTGGGCTGTTGCTGGGGCAGGAAATCTCCCTCTGGGATAGAAATGTCGTAGCTAAACTCGTGTCGGTTTGCAGTGTGCATCTCTTCTTGTGGGGTCTGCCGTTGTCAAGTGCTGTGGCTTGAAGAGTACCCCCCCTGCTGGTCTCCTAAGGTTTTCCTTATTAATTTTAACACATAATCATACCATTTTACAGAAAGATCAATAAACAGATTTTTTTTTTTTAGCAGATTCTTATTTGAATTCTATAACTCATTTAAAATGTGTCACGTAAAATACTGGGTTTTCATCCCTTTTTTACCGATAAGGAAACTGAGTATCACCCAGGTAGTCCCATACAGGGCTGGAATTGGATCCCTGTTTTCCCAGCAGCAGGCTAGGGATAGTGTAGGGGCAGAGTTTGAAAGGAGGGTGACTTAAATCGTTGGAAAGCACCAACTTCTCTGGGACATAGTTTCCCCCTTAGGTGAGATGAGGTCAATAATTTTTGCCTCACCGTGTCATCATGAAGGCCAGGATCTAACAGAGAGATCCTCAAAGGTGTGGGAGGGGAGTATTTATCAGGTTATATTACACGTTATACATCTGTATTTGGGAAATAAGGTCTCAGTTGGGTTTTGAACTAGGAGATATAGAAAAGGAAAATGTGTAAATCTTCTTGCCTGACTTGGCTTGATTTTTGCAAAATACAAATTTTACTTTCCTTCCAAAAATACTGAAACTTTGATCTAGCAGATGACCAAGAGGCCTGGGCTCAGAGGAAGGTGGTTCCTTCTGTCATGGATCCGAAAGCCAGTTTCTGGGATGGGGCCTTCAGTGGAGCTGGACCACAGACAACTCCAGGGTGGTTCCCACCAAAGCTGTGTGGGCTTCAGAATCCAGGCTGGCCTAGGCTGGAGAGGCCAGGGAGTCCCAGGATGCAGCTGTGGGCCTGTTGGAGGTCAGGCATGGCACTCTGGTCCCCTCCCGGGACTGACGCTGAGCCTCTCCCAAATGCTTCTGCAGGGGGCAGTTTATGAAGCAGGGCTTGACAGTGTGTCCCCCCCCCCCCCCCCCCAGGTGGCTGTCGGTTCCACCATCTTGGCATCTCTGGGACATCCTCTAGGCCAGTGCAGCAGCCATTCTGGGGCCTGTTGCTTTGCCCTTGTTTCCAATTCTGACGGCAGCTAATGATCCTCCTCCTAAAACAAGTGTAACCCTGCCATTCCTTCAGCCACAGTTCCCAAATGGCTTCACACAGTTTTTTGCCAATAGGACTTTGGGGTTTGCGTCTAAGCAGATCTCCAGCTCCTTTCCCCAGAACACACTCCAATTATGGCAGAATACTCATGTTTTTACACTTCAGAATCTTTGCTCAAGTAGTTTTATCTCTCCCTAGAGTGCTTAAGCCACTGGGGACTTGATCAGTAGTCACCTCTGAGCCCCTTGGCTCCACTGAGTTGGGCATTCTCTCCTTTCTCACTCATTTGGTTGTTTTTATTGCACTGTCCAAATAAGCCTCATTCCCCAGGGTGAATCTTCTTTCCTGCTGGCACCAAGTCTGATTTAGCTCTCTGCCCCTTCTATAGTGCCCGGCAAGCTAGGCGCCAACTGCACATTGACTGACCAGACATTGTTTTCTCTGCCCTCTTGTTCTAGGTCTGGAATGAAGTTTCAAGGACCAAGGAACTGTGGAGGTGAGTGAAGGAAAAGCCAAACATGGTCAGAGGAGTGTCCCATGAAGGTGAGGGGTGCACTGGATAAGTGGTCTGAGCACTGTGTCTCTGGCTTTGATGCATACACAAGAAAGGACAATCCACAGAACTTAGCAGGAAACTACCCCCCGCCCCGTTAGGTGTGTAACACTCTCTTTTTTTAATAGTGTATTGAAATATAAGAGTTTTATTAGTTGAATGGGAGATTGATATATGTCAGGAGTACCAAAGTCAGGGGCAGAAATGTACAGCAAATGCATACAGCTGGCTGACAGAAGATACATCAACAAACTATTTTATTTGAACTCATCTTTGGTGTAACAACATAGCTGTATAAGCACATACGATATTAAAAAAAAAATAACATCAGGGGCGCCTGTGTGACTCAGTCAGTTAAATGTCTACCTTTGGTTCACATTGTGATCTCAGAGTCCCGGAAGGGGCTGGGGCTCCCTGCTCAGTGGGAAGTCTGCTTCTCCCTCTCCCTCTGTCCCTCTCCCCTGCTCGTGCTGTCTCTTGTGTGTGTGTGCTCACTCTCTCTCAAATGAATAAAATCTTTAAAAAAAAAAAAAAAAAAATCAAAAAAATTAAATTTGAAAATAAAAAATATTTTAATCATTAATTTATTACGTTTTTCTTTCTTATTCATTTTTCCTTTGGAACCTGACTTCTTTTGTCCCAAGAAAGGAGTGTCAGATCATCTGTCTCTTGCTGAATGTGAGACAGATTATAGCCTTGACTGTCAGCTAGGAGCTGTATTTAGTTTTAGCCGCTACAGCTGTTCACACATGAAGGGGCTGCCAAACGTGGAGGGAGTCTTTGCTTGATTGATGGGTTTTGTTTTCAGGATAACTGTGCATTGAGATATTTGAGAATTCTAGAATGCCAGTTTTGCTGTATTTAGTGTTCAGTGTCTATAGTATCTATTGCTTTTCATTCACTTGTTATTGATAATGATACTAGTTAGAAAAATTACATTAATCCCTTTAGTTAGTTTTGAAGAGAACTTTTGTTGGCTTTCCGTCTTTATCTACAGTTTGGGGGAATGTACTCTAGATAGAACACATTCAGTTCTGGAAATTGATTCCTCTGTAGGGAGTGGACAAGGTTATGTCTTGCCAAATATGATGCTCAATGACTTTGTGTCATAGGAAATAAGTGAACTGACTCATGGGTTGGCGCGAGTATTTGTGGAAGACCTAGTAGAGCAGTATTCATATGTTGAAATAGGTAGGATGCCAGCCCCAACCCTGGTCTTCATTCTCATCTTTGCTGATAGGCTAGGAGAGGAATTTCTGTTTGAGTGACAGGAGTAAGTTTCTTTCAGCCGTTCAAAGGATACCTTCAGTGGCTTATCACCTAACTTCCACATGGATGTCATATGTTACCACGTGGTGCCTCTGATTCCTCAGGTAGATGGTTTGGCTTCTACAGGCAGGTCACGAACGGGTTTCAGTTCATTACTATTTCATACTGTTTGGTGCTAAACATTTTTAGCATAAAGTCATTCCTCAGCATTGTATCCTTGAACTGTGTTCTTACAAAAACAGTGGGTTTTTCTGGAGCTGGGACAACAGCATTTCAGGAGCATCGTCTTCTGTGGTCACATGCATGTATCATTTCTTTTTTTTTTTTTTTAAGATTTTATTTATTTATTTGAGACAGAGAGAATGAGAGAGAGTACATGAGAGGGGGGAGGGTCAGAGGGAGAAGCAGATCCCCTGCCGAGCAGGGAGCCCGATGCGGGACTTGATCCCGGGACTCCAGGATCATGACCTGAGCTGAAGGCAGTTGCCCAACCAACTGAGCCACCCAGGCGCCCGCATGTATCATTTCTGATGCAGTGTCTGTCATGGGTACCAGGCCCCAAAGTTCTCCAGGCCCATTAGAAATTCTTATGGACACAGCAAATGAATGTAGTTAACTGATCGTGTATTTTTAATGTGTACTGTATAATTTTAATTGAGAATGCTGCAAGTTCCTTTTTTTAATGCCCCATGACCTTTTAAATTCTGCTGCCTTCAACACACTAAACATTAACTTTTGGTTAGAAGTAAAGTTGCAAATATTTGCTTTTTTTTTTTTTTTTAAGATTTTATTTATTTATTTGAGAGAGAGAGAATGAGAGAGAGCGAGCACATGAGAGGGGGGAGGGTCAGAGGGAGAAGCAGACTCCCTGCCGAGCAGGGAGCCCGATGCGGGACTTGATCCAGGGACTCCAGCATCATGACCTGAGCCGAAGGCGGTCGCTTAACCAACTGAGCCACCCAGGTGCCTGCAAATGTTTGCTTTTGTTTAAGGTACATAATTTCTGTTGTGTACCACCGATCATTTGTTATAATTGCTATCTGTGAAAAGTTTTGGTATCACAGTATTTTTGCACTTGATACATTGAAATTCAGAGGCATATCACATACTTTATTCATATTCATACTTAAACCTTTTTGATGGTCTGCCTTTGTTTTTAAAGTAGGCTCCACATCCAGCATGGAGCCCAGCGCGGGGCTTGAACTCATGACCCTGAGATCAAGACCTGAGCTGAGATCAAGAGGTTGGCTGCTTGACCAGCTAAGCCACCCAGGAACCCCAGTCTGCCTTTGTTTTTGTCAAATCATTTGTTTTTTCATTTCTTCTAAATATTGGTCATGGGTCCTACTTAAGGTTCGTATAGTGGTGTGTAATGGCCTTAAATACTAGACTTTACTTCCACTAAGAAATGTGCCTTCTTTTTCTTAAGCCACATTATCTTCTTGGTCTAGCTTTCATTTTCACACTCTTTAGATTGAGATATGGGTACAAGAAATTTCCCTTCTTATTTCAACTCAAAACCAACAACATAAGGACTGGTGATATGAGGTAATTGACACTTGGTCTCACCATCCAGAAGATAGAAGAGGTGGTGAAGCTGAGAGCTCGTTCTTATCTAAAGGGTACAGGCTTATGCAGCTCCAGACAGATTTTGTCAGGTGGGAATTTGGGTTCAGTATAGTCAGACCTCTTGCCTTTTCCTGACTTTTATGTGAAAACTTACGATTTTTAAGTGTGGCAGCTAGTCTATGCAGGCTAATCCTATGCAAGCCAAGCAAAATAATCTGGGGGTCCATTTGGCACATAGGCTGCCAGTATACTACTTTTTTTTTTTTGAATCTTTTTTTTTAAGATTTCATTTATTATTTGAGAGAGAGAGGTTGAGAGAACGAGTGGGAGGAGGGGCAGAAGGAGAAGCAGACTCCTGTGGAGCAGGGAGCCCCATGCGGGACTTGATCCCAGGACTCTGGGATCATGACCTGAGCCACCCAGGCACCCCAGTATACAACATAGAAGGACCAGAGTTCCAGTAAGCACAGTAAAACCTTCATCCAACATGGGCGCTGGATCTTTCTCAGTGTGTTAGGAGGTTCCTAGAGCCTAGCACAGGGCCTGACATGGAGGTGCTCAGTGAATGGAGAAGCTATGATGACTGTATTGTACTTATTGAGGTCATGGGCTATGAGCCATGTATTTCCCACCTAACCTCATCTGTTCTCTGTGAGATAGGAGTGCTAGGCTGGAGCCACACAATGCCACATCAGCTCTGTGGACTGTAAAATGCTGGAAGCCTCTGTCCATGAAGCCTCCCTAGTCCTCTCCCAGCCAGAAGTCCACTCTCTTTGTGCTCAGGTCCCATATCACATGTTGCATCTTCTGAAATGTCACGTTTCTCCCATGAACTTTTATTTTGCTTATTCTCCTAACCACTGGCTAAGAGCGCCCTGTGGTAAGAGCCATGTCTCACTCACTTTGGTGCCCAAAGACTAGATGGAGAGTCCATAGTTCTCTACAGTGTGGATGAGCTAACATTTTTATTCTCAAAAACTTGATGAAAGAGGTGCTATCATAGAATTGAGAGCAGTCACATGGAAGCTCGGAATGCAGGATCTTGGAAAATGGTGGATTTGGAAATTTTCTCCTCTATAAAAGCAATGAGAAAACTGACACAAATTTTCAAAATCAACTTTTTCAGAACTCTGGAAATTAATAAGAGACTTGTAGTCTAGGAAGTGTTTGTTCAAGAAAAAATATTTAAATCTTAGAACAGCAAGTTTTCTTGCCCTGTTCCTATAAACCTCTCCAGTTCTCTGTTAGCCTTGAATATCAACAGCTCACGATCACAGTGAAACCAGGAGCCTGGCAGTCACTGGAGGGGGAAGAATGGGATTGGATTCTCATTACCAGAGAATTGTCATTATTTGACCTGCTGGTATTTCTTTGAAGACCCCATGGGCAGACTGTTTTTGTTTGGTCTGACTTGGAGTTCACTCAGTGTGAAAGCCTTTACTTTGGGACCTTTGTCAGAATAGTAACTGACAGTTGATTAACTTTGTGGCCTGTCAGAGCTGATGGACAGCAATTGAGCAAATAGTAGGCTAACCAAAAGCTTGAAAAGCTGAGAATGTGATGTCTTTAGGGGCTTGAGCTTTGAAAAGCCCTGACACTTTCCTAGGAATGTAAAAGCCCAGGCACATGTAACAGGGTGTGCAAATTCAGGGAAGACCTAAGAAGGCTCTAAACTCACTTGTTTGGCTAACCCTGAGGTTCTATGCAAGTAGGAAGTGAAGGCTTGGGTATAGTTGTCAGCTGCCTTACTGAGTGTTGAATGCATTCCCCAACATGCACAGGAGCCTTTTGGTGATGACCAGAAGACTTAGTAGTTCCAGGCATTTGCAATATCCATGGCCAGTCATTAATTAGTAAGCTCTAATTTAAGCAGAGACTTCAGTGGCCATATGTAACAAAGAATGCAGGCTTTTCAGAATTTGTTCATAAATGTTACTAAACAAACAATAACAGTCAACAGCTGATACAACAAACCTGGAGGGGGGGGGGTTCAGATTTCCAGAACTCCACATTATTTAAAATGTTCAGTTTTCAACAGAAGTTATGAGTCATGCAAAGAAATAAGAAAAGTATAGCTTATACACAGGAAATAAAGCAAACAACAGAAACTTTGAGAAAGCCCAGGCATTGGACTTACTAGGTAAAGAATTTAAATTAGCTATTTTCATTATGTTCAAACAACTACAGGAAACCATGTGCAAAGAACTAAAGGGAAGGAGGACAGTGTCTCATCCAATAGATGATATCAGTAAAGAATATTTATAAAAATAAATAGAAATTATAGAGTAGAAAATTATACTATCAAATTAAAAACTCAGGATTTGAGCACAGAAGATAGAATCGGTGAATTTGAAGATAAGCCAAGGGAGATTATCCAGTCTGAAGAATAGAATGAATATGAAGAAGGAAGAAAAATCAACAGTGCCTAAGAGACCTGTGGGACACCATCAAGCATGCCAACATTGCATAACAGAAGTCCCAGAATGAGAGGGGAAAGGGAGAAGGAATAAAATATTTAAAGAAATAAGGGCTGGGAACTTCCCAGATTTGATGAAGGATGTTAATTTACACATGCAAAAGCTCAATGAACTCCAAGTAGGATAAACTCAGAGTTCCACACCACCAGTGTCGTCTTAGTGCAGTAGGCAGCACGTCAGTCTCACAAAGAGTTCCACATCAGAACACATTGTAGGGACACCTGGCTGGCTCAGTCGGTAGAGCATGCAACTCTTGATCTTGGGGTCATGAGTTCAAGCCCCACATTGGGTGTAGAGATTACTTAAATAAAATATTTAAAAAGACACATTGTAATCAAACTTGAAAGCTGAAGATAGAGAATGAAAGCAGCAAGAGAGAAGCAACTCATCATGTACAAGGAAACCCTGATGATATTTAACAGTTGATTTCTCATTAAAAAACATGGAACACAGGGCGCCTGGGTGGCTCAGTTGGTTAAGCGACTGCCTTCGGCTCAGGTCATGATCCTGGAGTCCCTGGATCGAGTCCCACATCGGGCTCCCTGCTCGGCAGGGAGTCTGCTTCTCCCTCTGACCCTCCCCCCTCTCAGGTGCTCTCTCTCATTCTCTCTCACACAAATAAATAAATAAAATCTTTAAAATAAATAAATAAATAAATAAAAAACATGGAACACAGAAGGTAGTGGGATGACATTGGAAGTGTTGAAAGAAAAGATTATTAGAGTTGAATGTCTAGAAAAATAAAGGAGAAAATGAAGACCTTTTAAGATTAGCAAAAGCTGAGAGGGTTTGTTGCTATACACTTGCGCTACAAGAAACCCTAAGGGAGTCTTTCAGTTTGAAATGAAAGAATGTTAGGTAGTAAGTTGAATCTACATGAAAATAAAGAACACTAGTGATGTTACTTTATAGGCATATATAAAAGGCAGTATAAATGTATTTATTTGTAAGTCTGTTTTTCTCTTTAATGATTTAAATGACAGCTGCATAAAACAATATAGCTGTCTGTTGATGCATATATAATGTATAAAACGTGATTTGTAGGTGTAGCAGCACAATTGGAGAGGGGCAGGAAACGGTGCTACATAGGAGCAAAGTTTTTGAATACTGTTGAAATTAAGTTGATGTTAATCAAAACTAGATTAATCCCCAAGGCAACCATTAAGAACTCAAAAAATATGGTAGAAGAAATGACAAGGGAATTAGTACATTAGAAATTATTCAACACAAAAGAAGGCAGTAACAGAAGACTAGAGGGGAAAATGCTTAAAACCTAGAAATAAGTAGCAAGATGACATGTAAACCATGCCTTGTCATTAATTATGTGGAATGTGTGAAGTGTACACTCCAATAAAAAGGCAGAGGTTGTCAGAAGGGATAAACAATATCCAACTTTCTGCCGTCTACAAGAGACATACTTTAGATTCAAAGACTTAGATAAGTTGAAATTTGAAGAATGGAAACAGATATACCATGCAAACAGTAACCAAAGGAAAGTTGGAATGGCCGTGCTAATATCAGACAAAGTAGACTGTAAGACAAAAAGCATTACTAGAGACAAAGAAGGCTATTTTATGATAAGTCAATCCATGAAGATCTAAAAATTATAAATGCATACGCACCTAACGACAGCAGCAAAACACACGAAGGGCTGACAGAACTAAAAGGAGAAATAGACAATTTAGCAGTAAGAGTTGGAGACTTCAAGAAATACTCTTTTCTTTTTTTTTTAAGATTTTATTTATTTGTCAGAGAGAGTGAGCACAAGCAGGGGGGCGGCAGGCAGAGGGAGAAGCAGGCTCCCCGCTGAGCAAGGAGCCCGATGTGAGACTCGATCCCAGGACCCTGGGATCATGACCTGAGCTAAAGGCAGATGCTTAACTGACTGAGCCACCCAGGCATCCCAAGAAATACTCTTGAATTACCGAAGTAATTCGGTTGCATGACCGAAGCTGCATGCCCTTGGCCTTGGGTCAGTTAAAGCCCCGGTCATGTACAAGGGGTCAGGACCTACTTCACGGGGGTGTCAGGAAAAGTGGCGGAATACGCAAGAAGCACTGACACCTGGTGGTGGTGAGCACTTGTTCAGTGTCATCTCATCATCATCCCCACTTTAACAGTGGAGGCGGTTGAGGCCTCAGTAGGCAGAGTGCATTGTCCAAGCTACTAGATGGTAAAGCCAGGAATCAAAACTAGACCTGTGGACATCATAGTACCTTCTTCTAACACCTGCCCTGTCCTGCCTGGGATCATGGGTCTGTGTTCCAGGCAGCTGTGTCTGAGACGCTGGTCATCATGTAAAGCCTCCCAGATGACCTTGGGCACACAAACATGGAAACAGTACTATCTCTGCCGATCTGAGCTGGAGTTCCGAATGGAATCTGGGCGGCCAGAGAAGGACTTCATCTGCAAAGCCATTGCTGGGCACAAAGGTATGGCTGCAAGCTTTCCTGCTGCTCACTTGTCCTGGTCGAGTGCCCTGGGATTTGGTGTTTAGCCAGTGAGTGGGAAGGGGCTGCTTGACGAGGACTCGCCCTGCTGGGTTCTGTATTTGGCTATGTCACTTGGCACTCAGAGTAGCCCTGTGAAGAAGGAATTGTTATATTTATTTCAGAGTAGAGAGAAACGGAAAGCAAGAGAGTAGGGAGTGTTGTGGCCACGTGGCTGGTGGGAGGGGGCAGTCCTGGGTGTGAAGCCCTATGGCCACAGCTGTCCCCTAAGGAGCGCCTGGGTGCTCCCGAGAGAGAGAGGAAGGAGTGTCCCGCCGGCCCTTCCCCAGTCTGCATGTCCACATCCCAGACGTTCAGTGTGCATTCAAGGCCAGTCTCTGTTCTCTTCCAGGAGGCATAGATGAGCTGGCCTACATCTCAACCAACGAGTGCCGGTTTGATGGGCGGGAGAAGTCGGTGGTGTGCACCGTGTCCTCGGACAGCACAGTGCGTGCCTGGGATGTGCAGGAGGTGAGCCGGGTGGAGGGGCCAGGGTGCGACTCACAGGATCCTACTGAGGTTCTTCCCCTTCACTAGCTCGTTCAGCCCCCGGGGGCAGCTTCCAGGTGGTGGGATCCCCATGGTATAGACAAGAACTCTGAGCTGCAAGAGGCCAGGTCGCACTTAGAGCTCAGGTCTGATCGCAGCTGGAGCCAGACCTGCCCTTGACTCTGAGCGGCCTGCCTTGGGGAGGTGGGTGCCTGCACAGCGGCCACACGGCAGCACCTGCCCCCGGTCCCGCGGTGTCCACGTTGGAGCTAGTGCCTAGTCCGGGCTGTTTTGCCCAAACAGTTGCCCCTTCTGGTTACCCCCATGTACCAGCTAAGTGTTGAGACTTTGATAACTGGTATTTCACACTTGGTTGTCACTATTGTTAAAAAGCTTTGCGGTCCATTTCCTCACTGATTCTCACCGCAGCTGAGCAAAGCATGCATTATTATCACCCTGATTTTATGGACGATCAGTCTGAGACAGAGAGGGAAGTGTCTCTGAGTCCTGAACCGTGTGGTTCCCTGTAAATCCAAGGGTTCTGCACACATAGAAACCAACCTCCTTGATAGGACTTTTTCCTGGAAACTACAGATTACCTCATGTTTTTGAAAGCCCTGGACAAACAAAGGCACCTGTGGGTCCTTGCTACGTTAAGTGGGGAGCCTCCTCGTGTCGCCGTTGGCCAGCTCTGCTGGAAGTGCCCAGTTCGCGCAGAGAGCAGAGGGGGCTCCCCGGATTTCCCTGGCCGCTTTGAACAGGGCACCCTGGCTCTCAGCACACTGACCGAGACCTGGGCCTGCCTTGCTAGTGTGCGAGGGTAGCAGGCTGCTGGGAGCTGCGTCCTGCCACCCCCATGCCAGCCGTGGGGTCACTGCTCTGCCCAGACGTCACGTTAGAGTCTGGGAGAGAGCGGGTGTGTGCTGCGTTTGGTCACGCGGGGACACTTGAGAGGCCACCTGAGGCCATGCTGGGCACAGAGGTGGTGATGGAGTCTTAAAAGTCCCAGCTGGGCTGCAGCCTAGGTTGTGAGGGGCCCAGGAGCCGGGGCAGGGGCTCGGAATGGGAGGAAGGGGCACCGGGTGTGGGCACATGAGGGATGCGCTGTGGTTAGTTACAATTTATTTTGCTTTTGAATCATGAAAGTAAAACACTGTTGAGGGTTTTGGAAAAGTAGGACTAGGAGATATTTCTTGAGCGAAAAAATTCTCCGCCTGCCTGCTCTCTTTAGCAGTTCTTCCCAGAGGCGACCACTGTTCAAGTCCTGTCCAATCTTCGTCTTCCTGGTGGCTATCGATTCATCTGTTTTTACATTAGTAGAGTCTGTTCCTCCATCCGCATGCTTCAGAGAGTCTGTGTTGTCTGCCTGCTTTGCAGAAACTTCTTCGTTACCAGGAGCCCGTTCTTTATCCCCATGCTCTTTTTTTTTTTTAAAGATTTTATTTATTTATTTGAGAGAGAGAATGAGAGAGAGAGAGAGAGAGAGCGCACATGAGAGGGGGAGGGTCACAGGGAGAAGCAGACTCCCCGCTGAGCAGGGAGCCCAATGTGGGACTCGATCCCGGGACTCCAGGATCATGACCTGAGCCGAAGGCAGTCACTTAACCAACTGAGCCACCCAGGTGCCCCCCATGCTCTTTTTTGTTTAAAGGGTACAAAGTTGTTTGCATCATTTCTCTCTACTCTGTGGCCAAGTTTTCGGTTGTTGATGATAGTTTCCTCTTCTCATGCTTGGTTTTCCTCCTACAAGGCAGTATTTGAGGGTCATTTCACAGGAAGGTCCTGTGGTTCCTGGGGTGGGAGGCTGCCCGCCTTCCTGTGGCCTCTCTGTAGGACCTGCGTCGGCTGTGGACACCTGGCCACATGGGCTCAGGGTGGGGGGGTCAGCAGAAGAAGACATGGCGCCTGGGAGACCCTAGACTTGCCCAGATGATCAGGTCTCGACTTGAACAGGGAGAGCACTTGGGTACAGGCTCGGTGGACGTTTCCCGTCAAGGGCCCTGTGGTCCCTATGTAACCCCCCAGCTCTGTGGGCTCGATGCAGGAGCAGAAAGCAAACGGGAGAGTGGCCTGTTCTGACAGAGCTAGCAACGCATGCTGACATGTGAGGTGCACATATTTTCATGTGTTGTGAAATCGTCTTTTGATTTTTTTTTTTTTTTTAAGCTAAACTACAAATATGGGCAGTGGGCTGGGTTTGGCTGAAGGCCGTAATTTGCTGAGCTCTACTTCCGTGTGGTCTGGTTTGCCAGCATGAGCCTCTTTCAGAGTCCAGAGCCACCTGCACACATCCTGCCTGGCTGCACAACCTTAGTACTCTTCACGAGCAAACCTCCCGTAGAAAACAACCTCCGCCTTTCCTCCTTCCACGTCCACACATAGCAGTTGTCTTGTCCCCAAATAATTATCTGTATGGTTAGTAGTACTGTAATTGTGTAAGTGCTTTTCACACTGAGCTATGAGGAAAACTAACATTTGGCGTTTCCTAAAATTAGTAAGTACTCCTTTTTTTTTTTTTTAAAGATTTATTTATTCATTTTAGAGAAAGCATGTGCATGCAAGCAGGAGGGACAGAGAGGGAGAAAATCTCAGGCAGACTCCCCGCTGAGTGTGGAGCCTCTTGTGGGGCTCGATCCCACGACCCATGAGATCACGACTTGAGCCGAAACCAGGAGTCAGACACTCAACTGACTGCACCACCCTGATGCCCCAATAAATGCTCCTTTTCAAAAATGATCTTAGTTGCCACTTACAGTATTTAAGACCATGCTTTTGACTGGTTATATTGGTTTCTGGTCTGGCTTTCCATGCCACGTGTCATCCACTGTCCCTGGAGAATTCTAGGGTTTGAGTTCGTCTGTTTCTGGCATCAGAGTCCTGGTGCCACCACCGCCCACTTCCTTCCTGCGGCAGGCGTGTTGCCCAGCAGTCACTGGTCAGCGTGTTTCTGTGCTCCGACCCCTGACCTCTGCTTCCACTCCGAACCCAGGAGGGAGTCTCACGCCTCCTTCACTAACCCTGGTGAATGTGCTCTGTTCCCCGAGACTCCTTGCCATCCCTCCGCGTCACCTTGCTGCTCGAGCAACAGGAATCAACTGAGAAAGGATCTCATAGAGGAATCCTGAGTATCTTGGTTGGAAAAAAAGATCCAGATCATGGTAAAAGGAACACATGATAGAAAAAGGGTCATAATGACCCAGAATGGGAATGGAAGCCCAGGTGGCGCCTCTGGGAGACTGGGAGTGGAACGTCGCGGATAGTTCTCTGGTTCCCGCCTTCGGGTGCCCTGAGCCCACTGGCACCAGCTCTTTCCCACCTGTTGCAGTTCTTACAGTCCTGGGACAGACCATGGAATCGCCCAGCTCAGGCCTTGGCTAGGGCCCCTCCCAGGAAAGGGGGTGTTTTAGCAGGACAACACGGACATGCCACGTGAACTGTTCTCACCCACAAGCCTGAGTTAGCTAATCTGTAAAATGGGGCTGCAGGGGCCTGAGGGAGATGCTGCACATGTAAGTTCTTTGTACGCAGCCATGTGGCCCAGGCCCCAGCTCCCTGCCCAGCCTGCCTTGGTGGAGCTGGGGGCAACCACTGTGTGCACACGGCCACCCCCCGCCCCCGGTGCAGTCCTGGTGGTGCCAGCGCTTGGGAATTTCCGTACACCCCCAGTTCCGCCACTGCTGTGCCCCGAAACACCGCTTCCGTGTCGTGCTCTGCACCACACTGTGGCTCCTGTGAGCATGGGGTCTGTGCCTTTTCTACCCGTGTGCCCCCCGTGTGCACTAGGCGATGGTCATATGTTTATGAAATGAATGGCCCCCATATAAGTTGTTATTTTCCTTTTGTTGTTGCCCAGGGCACAGAGATCTGGTCAAGCCCCCTGCAGCCCGCTGCTCTGGTGAACTTGGTGACCTACCCTCGGCTGCAGCTGGTCGTCACCGTGGACAAGCTGGGCCTGATCAAGGTGTGGAAAGCGGAGAATGGGAGGGAGTGGGCCTCCTTCTCCCTGCCTACATACTCATCTGCGTTGCAGGCCTGTGACCATCCAGAGGGCCCCTTCCTGCTGGTGAGTGACTGGCTCTTGGGAGTCTCTGCAGGTCCTAGCTGTCTCCCAGGGTCACGGACACTCTGGTGCTGTGACCACTGTGATGGGTGGCGCCTGGAGCCGGGCACTCGATGTGGTAGGACAAGCTGTCGTTCTGCGGCCCAGTACCCCAGCTCCTCCTCTCCAGCTCAGCTGCCTGCAGCAGCCTGTCTCCCCAGCCCCGTCTCTGCCCCTCCTGAGCCGTCACCGAGACTCAGCCACAGGCTGCCTGTGGGTTCAGTTCATGTGCCTCTGCTCTCCTGTCCCCTGAGCTTGCTGGCAGTCTCTCTCCTCCCTGCAGTTCCTTCTCTGTCTGCATTCTTACCCTTCCTTACCTTGTTTCAAGTCCCAGCTAAGGCCCAACTCAGGAGAAACTGAGGCATGTTTGACAAACATGAGCACTTGCCCAGGACACCAAAAGCCTCTGTTACCAGAATGTCCATTTAGAAGTGACTCTTGGGCATTGGGAGGGTTTGGCGGGGAGAAACAAGGAAAGTGGGTGTAAGGTGGCAGGTGTGGGAAATGGCTCTCAGATGGAGGCAGTGTCCCCACCTGTGGGGAAGGAGGCCTTGGAAAGGTTGGGCAGGCTGGCGTCCCGGGGATCAAGAGGAGCAGACGTCCGTGCGCACAGAACTGACTGGAAAGGAACTAAGCTTAGCAAATAAAATGAGTAATATCTGATGAAACATTTTACATAAACCACTGTGCAGCTGTTGAAGAAGACTTCCGAATAAGTGTAATTGGCATCCCCAGATCCATTTGAGAATCCATTGCGTAGCTGAAGAGGCCACTGAGGTTCTCTCTGGTAGCAGTAGACCATGTGCTTCCCTTTCTTTGCGAAGGATAGTAAAGGTAGGAGGCGTACATCTGCTGGATAACCTCAGAGAGGAGAAAGAACAAAAATGTCTAGACCAAGATTCAGGAGATTTAGCCGGAATCAGATGGAGTCACCGACACTGGCAACTTTGCCCTGGAGACCCTTCTGCCAAGGCAGCTGAGAGGCTGTAGGCCTTTGATGGCCCGGCGAGGAGTTGGAGTGCTGAGCCAGTGAGGGCGGAGCCCTGGGCCTCCCCTTACACTGGGTGGGGTGCCGGGGGTTGCAGCCCGAAGTGGGATCTGCAGGTCCGCCGTGCTCCCCCTGGCTGTAGCCTGGCACCCCGGCCACCTGGGAGGAGTAAACGAGAATCCTTCCTGGGAAAGATAACGTCACCCAAGGCCGCATGTTATTTCTGCTTTGAAATGCAGTGTCCAGCACACACTTAGAGCTAACTAGGCACGGGAGAGATGAGAGAGTACGAGCTCAAGATACTGCAGTCCTTACATGCTAAAACCCCTGTGGTTGCCGTGTTTAGGGAGAAGGTTTCAGAACTCAAAGCTATGAAAAATGACGGAATCTATTTAGAAAAGAACCAGGTAGAAATTCCAGAATAGAAACACTGAGTACAAAGGTTAACTCAGTGAGTGGGTTTCATAGCAGGATGGACAGTGGAATCACACCGAGATGGGGGGTGGAGGGGAGCGTCTGGGGCTCTGGCAACATCCCATTTCTTAACTTGGGTGGCAATGTGAATATTTGCTTTGTAATGATGCATTGAGCGTTGGGTTTGTGTTTTGTGCACTTTTCTGTATGGTGTTTTCTGCATCAGTGAAAAAGTTAAGAGGTTACCTGGAATGAAATGCAGATATTGAGTGAGGTAAATGGAAAGAGAGGGTACAAGATGTAGACCAGTCCTTCTCAGGCTTTAATGGCATGTGAACTACTGGGGATGTTGTTTAAATGTAGATTCCAATTCGTTGGGTCCCTGGGGATGCCTCGATTCTAACTTTTTTTTTCCTTTTGTGAGAGAGAGCACACAAGCAGGGAGGGGGAGAGCGAGAGAGAATCTCAAGCAGACTCCCTGCTGAGTGTGGAGCCCGTCACGGGGCTCTGTCTCACGACCCTGAGATCATGACCTGAGCTGACATCAAAAGTCAGACACTTAACGAGTGAGCCACCCAGGCGCCCCTTGGATTCTGACGTTTTAAAAGCTGCCTGGTAGCATCGGTCCTGTCGGTTAGATGACACTTTGAGTAGCAAGGCCATAAAGGACCCATGGAAAAATTCTAGTATTTGGTATCAGGAGCAGGTGAGGGAGTGAATGGGTCAAAAGCAACATTTGAAGAGATAATGGCAGATATTTCTCCAAAATAGACTAAGGACATTGATCCATGGAATCAAGAAGGCCTACAAGCCCCAAGTGGGATAAACAAAACTGAATCTGCATACGGGCCCATCAGGGTGAACTGAGATTACCCGAGGACCAAGAAAGCCTATCTGGTAGCAGCCAGGGGACGCAGACTCCCTTCAGGGTCTGACTGACTGCGGGCAACCGTGGATCTCAAGGATCATAGAATAGGGTCTTGAAAGAAAGAACTGCCAGCAGGAAATCCATAACAGAAAGTGACCCCCAGGAGTGAAGAGGAGTGAAGGCATCTCAGGTAACATGGAGAATCTGTAACAGTCACAGCACCGCTGAGAAGAACATGCGTGGGACACGAAGTGGAAGGCTGATGAGCAGCACTGGGGACGAGGAGATCTGAGGGTCAACTATAAAACAGCAGGAACCGCGTCTTGTGGATTTTAAACTATGCGCAGAAGACAAACAGAGGGCGTTAGCATTTACGTTAGGAGAAGGTTATGAGGAACTAAACAGTCCAGGATCCTTGAATTGTCTGGGACCATTTATGTACCGATGGGCAGTGATGTCTACAAGGAGGAACCTCTCCCCTAACTCCCAGAAGAGAAATGAAGGAGCATATAGCCTCGAAGTCCTAAGAGCAAAAGGGGCAGGATCAACCCTGACCCCAGATTTGGCTTGATTATCAAGAGTGATGAAGCCACATGAGCACCAAGAGGGTATGAAGAGGTAATTTGTCCCATAACCAGGTTTTCAGGATGGTGGCTCCCAGGAGGCGGGTCTGAACGGCTACAGGCAGCAGCGGGGAGTGAGTGGCCTGCTCTTCCTGTGGTTGGGGTGGGATGGAGGGAGGACCCCTGCGTGGGCCGGGTTTCTGTGGTTTGAATTCTCCACGGGTGGCCTTTATCCTCTTGTCCGGATGTGGAACGGAGGGTGGGATGGGCAGGCCGGAAAGCTGTCCGTCACCAAACATCAGAGACGGAGTCAGATTCCAATAAGCTTCCCTTCTGGTGACTTTGCTGTAATTCTGCCTTCAGGCTGATGGCTGAAACGTGCACGTTTTAGGTCTTCGAGCTTGGACTTGTGTAAGCCAGCCAAACGTGTGGTGCTCTGGGGGCCACCTGCTCAGGCTGGAACCCAAGGGCAAGTTCTCTTGTCTGGCTCATTCGGGACCCAGCGTTGTGTATTCGAGAAGTGAAGTGAGTGCCCGGTCGCGTCAGTATGTCTGGGTCTCCAAAGGGGATGGGGGTGTCTGATTGCCATTTGTGTCTTGGGGGTTCTGGGAGGCAAGCCTTCCTGAGTCTTCACCAAGAGGGAGAATTTGGGATGAGAAGCTTTGTTTCTGGCCACGCGGCTGCAGCACCAGCAGAGACCGAGGCGGCGGTGGTGTCTGCGGCTGGTCCTTCACGGGCGCTTCCAGGGCGTTGGCGCCAGCCGCGGGGTCCGCCCTTGAGCAGGGATGTTCCAGTTGGCGGAGGGGCCACAGCAGTGGGCTCCACCGTGTGTGATGGCAGCTTTGGTACCTGTGTAGTGTGGGAACTCCTTTCCTGTTGGCTCAGAGGGTGCCCTTCTCCAGCAATATGTGAAGAACTATTATCACTCAGTAGGTAAGAGACAGCCCAACTTTAAAATTAGGTGGAAGATTTGAATGCTTCACAGAAGAATATAGAGTGGTAGCCATTAGCACATAGAGAGAGAAGCTCCACACCACCAGTCATCAGTGAAATGCAGTTTAGAACCATGGTGAGATATGGCACCATATTGATCTGAAGAGCTGAAATTAAACAAATGTTTACACAGATGTGACACAATTCTTCAGAGAATTGTTTGGCAGTTATTTTAATATTAAAAAACACTTAACCATATTATGCAGCAGTTTTTCTTTTAGCTATTTACCAGTGAGATATGAAAATCTTTACACAAAAAGATTGGTACACAAATGTTTGTAGGAGCTTTAGTAATAATAGCCACATTGGATACAACCCAAGTGCTTATCAACAGGTGGATTTATAAAAATGGTATATGCATGCAGTGGAATACTACTCAGCATGGAAAAGGAACAAGGCTATGGATCTGTGCAACAACATGCATGAACCTCAGAAACATGCCGAGCAAAAGAAGCCAGACACAACAGAGTATGTGTATATTATATGATTCCGTTTCTGGGAAATTCCAGTCTCAACAGAACAGATCTGCACTGTCAGCAGACCAGTGGTCCTTAGGGATGGAGGGGACTGTTGAGGGACACAGAAACTTTGGAGATGGTGCAGATGTTCTAGAACCGGATTATGGTTGTGATAATCTACTAAGTCTGACTTCCCTACCTCTTATTTTTTCAAGTTTCCTTAGCTACTTTCATGTTTATTTTTCCATATGAACTTTGGAATCAAATTTTGTCTCCTGGAAAGAAAAGGGTATTTTCATTGATAGCATGTTCAGTTTAAATACTAACATGGAGAAAATGGACATCGTCATGATGCCGAGTGATTCTGTTCAAGAATAAGTGATGTATTTCCATTGGTTCAAGTTTGCTTTTTATGTCCTTCAGAAGTGATTTACATTTTTCCTCAGATAAATTTTGCACATTTCTTGTTAACGGTATTCCAAAGTATTTTATCATTTGTTGCTATTCCATTGATACGGGAAAGTATTTTCTGTTCCATTGTTTTCTAACTGGGTGTTGTTTGTTGAAATGAAAACTGTTGTTGTGTTTTATATTCTGTCAGTTTACTGAATTCTCTTATTTGCATTTATTTTATAACTGATTTTCTTAATATTTTTAGGTAAACACTGTATCATCTATAA